TAAAATCCAAAAATGCCAAGGACATATTTGGAATTGGACAGACGGACGGACACATATGTCTAGATCGACTCAGCTAGTCGAGATATGACGATCGGTATATTTAAAGGTGGGTCTAGGACCAATATTTCGCGGCGTTACAAGCTCTTGGGGCTGCACAAAGCTATAATACCCTGACAATATAGTTGTGTTGGGTATAAATATTAAGAAAATATTTTTCAAATACTCGAAAATATTTTTAAAATATTCGAAAATATTTTTCGAATATTCGAAAATATTTTTCGAACATTCCAATATTCAAATATCCCTAGGCGTGGTTTTTTTAAAAGAAAATCATTTTTTCGAATATTGCTTGTGCCAATAAAATCAAAGCATACTTTGAGGCGCTAATTGTGGATGCTGAAGAAACAGATTTAAATAAAAGATAAAATTTAAAGATTTCGAATTGAAAACAACAAACTAAAAATGGGACAAAAATGCTAGTGGACACGAACACGACAAATGATTTATTTTATTTAATTATTTATTTTAATTTTTTAAACAAGACTTACATTTTTCTTATTAAATTCTCTTGGTGTTGAGAACTATAATCGAAAAAACAATATAATCCAAATAAATTAACAAATGAAATTTACGAAAAATGAAAAAAAAACAACAATACAGAAATTTTAGAATTTTACAAAAGTTGCAAGAAATTTTATATATTGATTACAAGAGATAAAAGAAGAGAATAAATAGAAAAAAGAGTTGGAAAAAAATTATTTTGAAAAAAAAAATATTTATTTTTCAATAATTCGAATTTGATTCCTTATAGAGAAAGAGAAAACAAGAAAGCCAGCATGCATAGTTGTACATACAACAAATAGTTTTTTTTTTAAATTTCCAATAAAAAAAGTGTAGTTGTATTAATTTAATTTTATTTTTTTTTTAATATTAATATAAAAATAGAATTGGATTAATAATTTAATTTTGTATATATAATTTAGTTAATATAAATAATTAATAAATCTTAAAAAAATAAATTCTTGTTATTACTCACCTTCATAATTTTACATTGGGCCACTCCGGTCACAGTCAATGGTACACCCTGTGAGGTCTCCACACTTTCACACATGGGATTTAGGGTCATCACGTTCAGGGAGAGTCGTTGGACATCTGTTACCAGCCACCATGCCCAGGCCCAGCCACCGACAATGGTGCGCTTCTTTGTGGAGCCACAACAGCCACCTGGAAAAATCGAAATCAAAATAATGTCATTAAAGAATTTTTTTATATATACAAATATTCAAAAATATTTTCATTAAATACAGCACGCCTAGAAGGTAGGCAAAACGATTTTCTGTAAATAAAAAATGCCTAGAAGTTATGCAAAGATATTTTCATTAAATACAGCACGCCTAGAAGGTATGCAAAAATATTTTCTTCAAATAAACCTCGCCCAGAGCTATGCCAAACATAATGTCTTTAAAGAAACCATGCCTTGAAGGTATGCAAAAATATTGTATTTTAATAAACCAAGCCTACGGGTATGCCAAAAATATTGTATTTTAATAAACCAAGCCTACGGGTATGCCAAAAATATTGTATTTTAATAAACCAAGCCTACGGCTATGCCAAAAATATTTTCTTTAAATAATCCATGCCTAGTGGTATGCCAAAAATATGTTCTTTAAATAAACCACGTCTAGAAGCTATGCACAAATATTTTCTTTAAATAAACCACGCCTTGAAGGTATGCAAAAATATTTTCTTTAAATAAACCACGCCTAGAAGGTAGGCAAAAATATTTTCTTTGAATAAACCACGGCTACAAGGTAGGCAAAAGTATGTTCTTTAAATAAACCACGCCTAGAAACTATGCAAAAATATTTTATTTTAATAAACCACGCCTAGAAGCTATGCAAAAATATTTCCTTTAAATAAACCACGCCTAGGGAGCCTCTAAGAAAATTTGCTTTAAATAAACCACGCCTAGGGAGCCTCTAAGAAAATTTGCTTTAAATAAACCACGCCTAGGGAGCCTCTAAGAATATTTGCTTTTAATACAGCACGCCTAGAAGCTATGCAAAAATATTTCCTTTAAATAAACCACGCCTCGGGAGCCTCTAAGAATATTTCCTTTAAATAAACCACGCCTCGGGAGCCTCTAAGAATATTTGCTTTAAATAAACCACGCCTAGGGAGCCTCTAAGAAAATTTGCTTGAAATAAACCACGCCTAGGGAGCTTCTAAGAAAATTTGCTTTAAATAAACCACGCCTAGGGAGCCTCTAAGAAAATTTGCTTTAAATAAACCACGCCTAGGGAGCCTCTAAGAAAATTTGCTTTAAATAAACCACGCCTAGGGAGCCTCTAAGAATATTTGCTTTTAATACAGCACGCCTAGAAGCTATGCAAAAATATTTCCTTTAAAAAAACCACGCCTTGGGAGCCTCTAAGAAAATTTGCTTTAAATAAACCACGCCTAGGGAGCCTCTAAGAATATTTGCTTTAAAAAAACCACGCCTAGGGAGCCTCTATGAAAATTTGCTTTAAATAAACCACGCCTAGGAAGCTTCTCAAAATATTTTCTTTAAATAAACCACGCCTAGGAAGCTTCTCAAAATATTTGCTTTAAAAAAACCACGCCTAGGGAGCCTCTATGAAAATTTGCTTTAAATAAACCACGCCTAGGAAGCTTCTCAAAATATTTTCTTTAAATAAACCACGCCTAGGAAGCTTCTCGATATATTTTCTTTAAAAACATCACCCCTAAGAAGCTTCTAAAAATATTTTCTTTAAATAAACCACGCCTGGGAAGCTTCTCAAAATATTTTCTTTAAATAAACCAAGCCTAGGAAGCTTCTCAAAATATTTTCTTTAAATAAACCAAGCCTAGGAAGCTTCTCAAAATATTTTCATTAAATAAACCATGCCTAGGAAGCTTCTCAAAATATTTTCTTTTAATAATCCACGCCTAGGAAGCTTCTCAAAATATTTTCTTTAAATAAAACACGCCTAGGAAGTTTCTCAAAATATTTTCTTTAAATAAACCACGCCTAGGAAGCTTCTCAAAATATTTTCTTTAAAGAAACCACGCCTAGGAAGCTTCTCAAAATATTTTCTTTAAATAAACCACGCCTAGGAAGCTTCTCAAAATATTTTCTTTAAATAAACCACGCCTAGGAAGCTTCTCAAAATATTTTCTTTAAATAAACCACGCCTAGGAAGCTTCTCAAAATATTTTCTTTAAATAAACCGCGCCTAGGAAGCTTCTCAACATATTTTCTTTAAATGAACATATTTTCTTTAAATGAACCATGCCTAGGAAGCTTCCCAACATATTTTCTTTAAATAAACCACGCCTAGGAAGCTTCCCAACATATTTTCTTTAAATAAACCACGCCTAGGAAGCTTCTCAACATATTTTCTTTAAATAAACCACGCCTAGTTAGCCCCTACAAATATTTTCTTTAAACAAACCACGCCTAGGAAGCTTCTCTACATATTTTCTTTAAATAAACCACGCCTTGGGAGCCTCGAAGAATATTTTCTTTAAATAAACCACGCCTTGGGAGCCTCGAAGAATATTTTCTTTAAATAAACCACGCCTTGGAAGCTTCTCAACATATTTTCTTTAAATAAACCCAACCTTGGAAGCTCTTCAAAATTTTTCTTTAAATAAACCACGCCTAAGAAGCTTCTCAAAATATTTTCTTTAAACACAGCACGCCTAGGAAGCTTCTCAAAATATGTTTATTAAATAAGGCATTTTGCCGATATCGTTAAGTTTGGATCCAATCAGCTGATTTACCTGATTGTCATGAGGTCCCCTAAAACTATGCTTCACACATTTGTAAATGTTATTGTAGATTATTAGTTATATATATTGAGTTGTAATGTAAGCGGACGCCTAGGGGACCTCTAAAAATATTTTCTTTAAATAAACAACCTCCAGAGTGATTCAAAAAATATTTTCTTTAAATAAATCACGCCTAAGGAGAATAAAAATATTTTTTTAATAAACCACACCTGAGGAGACTTTAAAAATACTTTCTTTAAATAAACCTCGCTTAGGGGTATACCAAAATAAATTTCTTTCAACATATCACTCCTAGGGCTATGTGAAAAATATTTTCTTCTAATACAGCAAGCCTAGGAAGCTTTTAAGAATAATTTCTGAAAATAAGCGTAGAGCTGTGGGAAAAATATCAATGAATCCATAATCGTTTTTCCGATATCATCAAGTTTGGATCCCATCAGCTGATTGCCCCTGTTGCCATGAGGCCTCCTAAAAGTATGCTTTACACATGCACACATTTTATGGTAGGTTATTAATTGGGTATATTGAGGTATGAAATTTAATTGCCCACAATAAGTCTGCAATTTGAAAAAATGTGGCTAATTAACGTTTAATTTTCCTCGAGTGTATAGTAAATCCCATAATTCCAATGACCATAAAAACCAGTCTGTTTGCCAAAAAATGTTTTTTATTTATTTATCTGTTTTTTAATTTATTTGCTGACAATACTTTTTGTCAAAGCCAAATGAAACAGACAAAAAGCAAGACAGAAGTTCAGACTTCTCCAAAAAAATTAGTTTTAAGATGTTGCTTGAAACGGGTACATCATCAGCATTGGCCACGGCGGCCAATTATTGTGCGATACCAAGTGTGGGAGCAGTTAATACTCTGGTTTCTCTGTTGGTGCGGGGCATTTTATCGGCTCAATGTAATATTTCAAGTCCGGCGTTGTGGCCTGAGGATTATGTGGAAAAGGCTTTGGAACAGGGTCTGCCGAGTGGTCGAGGGAGTAGAAGGTTTAGCTGGCTCTGTGTTGAAAAATAAACCAGGCTTAGGGCTATTCAAAAATATTTTCTTTAAATAAACCAATCTTGGCTACTTTTTTTTTTAAATAGGGAACGCCTTGGGGTATTCAAAAAAATATTTTTAGATTTTTTTTCAATTCAAATTTATTTTTTATTTATTAAAAAACGAAATTATAAAATTTGATTTTTATTTCTATTTTATTCCCACTTCTTGGTAATCATATCCGCTGCCTTTTCCCCTATCATAATGGTGGGAGCATTTGTATTGTGCGAGGTTACCTGAGGCATAATGGAGGCATCTGCCACACGTAGATTGTGGACACCCTTTACCCTCAACTCTGGATCAACACAAGTGGCATTATCCCCCACCGGACCCATTTTAACTGTACCCGCAAAATGATAACCTGTACTAGAGAAATGCTCCATAAAACAATACCAATATTCAGGAGATTTTGAGGGATATTTGGAACACTCTTTCAAGGGTATCTCGAGCAATTCAATTTGCCTTTCCTTAAAGCTCTCCGTATCCAATAAATCCATGACATATGAAATACCATCCAATAGAGCCTCCTTATCCTCGGGATTTGTCAGATAACCTGAATTGATAATGAGCGGATCTTTGGGGGAAGAGGATTTTAGGGTTACACTACCGCGAGATTTGGGTTGAGCCAGCAGGATATAGACAATGAAAATATCTTTCACATCCAATTGCTGCCTTAGGTACTGCTTGATTTCATCCTTCAGTCCCGATATTTTGGCGGATTGTTCCAATTGCGAAAAGCTTCCGCGTTTCATGCCAACCAAATAGGTGTGCATATTGCGGGGGCCATTGGGACGGGTTTTCAGATAGGCTGTCAACTGGCCAGTTGGAAAATTGGCCAAAGGTCCTTTGCTATACATTAGATACTCATATATACCATCCAAGTCTGGGGAACCTGAAGCAGATGTAGTGGTGGATCCACTTGGCATCTTGAGATACAAATTAATGACCACATGATCCTGTAAATTCTGGCCAATGGGTAAATCATGGCGTAGAGGAATGTTAAGCCTTTGTAGATTATTAGCTGGTCCAATTCCCGACATCATTAACAATTTGGGAGATTCCAAGGCCCCTGCCGAAATTATGACCTCTTTGTTGATTTGGACCTTCATTGGCTTCTTTTCTTTTAACAGAAACTCCATCGAGAGTACCTTTTGATTGCGGCTATCAAAATTTAATTTCGTAACCCTGGCATTTTTAATAACCTTGAGATTCGATCTTTGTCGTACCCGACCCAAATAACTTTTGGCCGAACTCCAGCGATGGCCATTGGCAAAGGTGACCTGGGGATATTTGTATTCCAAATAATCCTCACCCCGTTTCTGTTTCACCTCATCCCACGCGGAGGTTGCCAAATCAATAAATTCCATATCGGTGGCATTGGCCTGGTTCAGCACCACATAACCCCTGGGATGTGTGGAATTTCCCTGAGGTGTCTTGGCTTTTTCATACAGCTTCTGCACCTCATCATAACACCAACCGGCAAGGCCTTGGGAACACCAAAGATCATGATCATAGCGGCTACCCTCAACATAAACCATGCCATTAATGGAGCCGGTACCACCCAAACCATTGCCACGACTCCAGCGACACTGATTACCCTTGAAGGCCTTGCAGGAAACATTATTCGCTTGTACGAGGTAATGGGAGGCTGCCATGGAATCTAACAAGTCATTGGAAAATATAGGGAACTACAAAAACACCTCAACATTAAATTGCGAGCTTCTTCTTATCTCAATCTTTTTTGTCATACCTCAGATTCCTGTGGCGGATCTCCACCTGCCTCCAATAGCAAAACATTCCATTTGGGATTTTCACTTAAACGACTTGCCACGACGGAGCCAGTTGAACCACCTCCCACCACCACAAAATCAAAACTCTGCAGACCCTCTTTCAAAGCCTGCTCAGCATAATCCTCAGGCCACAACGCAGGATTTGAAATATTACATTGCACCAATAGAGAAACCAGAGTATTTACAGCTCCCACACTAGGTATCGGACAGTAATTGGCCGCCGTAGCCAATGCCGATGATGTTCCCGCTTCAAGCAACATCTTCAAACTAAATTTTGGAGATGTTTTAATTTCTTTATTCATTTCCATTGTATTTTATTTCGACTTTGATAAAATAATTGTCAGCAAATAAAATAATAAACATATAAATAAATAAAAAAAACAAAACATTTTTTGGCAAACAGACTGATTTTTATGGTCATTGGAATTATGGGATTTACTTTACACTCGAGAAAAATAAACAGTAAATTAGTAGTATTTTCTTTTTTTTTAAATTGCAGACTTATTGTGGGCAATTATACTCAATTAATAACCTACCATAAAATGTATGCATGTGTAAAGCATACTTTTAGGAGGTCTAATGGCAAAAGGGTAAATCAGCTGATGGGATCCAAACTTGACTATATTGGAAAAATGATTATGGATTTCTGAATATATTTTCCGCAGGTCTAGGCTTACTTAGAAAAACAATTAGAGACTCCCTATGGGTGGTTTATTTCAAATAATTTTTTTGAGAAGCTTCCTAGGCGTGGTTTATTTAAAGAAAATATTTCTAGAGGCTCCCTCGGCGTGGTTTATTTAAAGAAAATATTTCTAGAGGCTCCCTCGGCGTGGTTTATTTAAAGAAAATATTTCTAGAGGCTCCCTTGGCGTTGTTTATTTAAAGAAATTTTAAATAACCCCCACTTGACTTCATTTCACTTTCAATTTCCCTTAGAAATCCAACACAAATTCAATATTACAACATAGCACCCACTTATGTGTTTATCATTTTCTTTTCTTTCTGTTTAAATCAATAAAAGATAGAAAAAAATAATTTCTAATGACAAACAGATAATAAAAATTGCAAGTCACCCAATTGTAGGCCAGAATTCCATAATCATAATTTGTGGCCATCATCATCATCAGGCAAATGGTGCTCTACCCTGAGCACCTGCTGTATGAAAAGCTTTACTGGCAGGAAAGGTAAAAATAATAAAAATTACACAAGCCGGCTACTAACTAACGGCAAGGCCTTTCAAAACGTGACCACACTCACGTAAGCCGCAAGCGTGAGTAGCCTTTAATGGGCAGCAGGCCCCCCAATAAAAGAAGCTTGGGATTTGAGAAATGTTGACCAAACAATGATCAAACAATTGAGGAAAAATTACGCAAAAGAGAAAGCTCTTTTATTTGAAACTTTCTCTTATTAAAGAGAGAGAGAGTGCGAGAAATTAACAAATGGAGTTGATCTTTGGATAATTGTTTAATATGTAATTGAGAAAAAATTGAGAGCAACTTCTTGGTAGCTCTCTGTTGTATCGGCCAAAGAGAGTGAGAGCAGGTAATTTTTTCAAAGAGAAAAAATATTCTCTTATAAACGCTTTCCTATTTATAAGCCCTATTTTTTGTAGTGAATTTATTTCTGCTCTATTAACAGTGACAAAGTAATTTAGTAAAATTATCAACATTTTCACTTCGATTTGAGCTATGACAAGTCAATGGGTTAGAAGGGTAGAAGAATAGCACTACTAAAAAAATATTTTCTTGAAATACAGCAGTCACTGAAAATGTTTATTTTAAATAAAACACTTAGGGAGCCTCCAAATTTTTTTTTAAATAAACCACGTCTAGGGAGCCTCTAAAAATATTTTCTTTAATAAGCCTAGAGCTGTGGGTAAAACAATAAGAAATCCATAAAAATGTTCCCGATATCGTCAAGTTTGGATCCCAACAGCTGATTTACCCTATTGCCATGAGGCCTCCTAAAACTATGCTTTACACTTAAATATAAATTTTATTGTTGATTATTAATTAGGGGCATCATATTTTAAATACAGAACCCAGAGCTAATGAACTTTTAAAAATATGTTCCGTGAAGAAATCACGGTTAAGGAGCCTTTAATATATTTTCTTCAAAGAAATCACGCCTATGGAGCCTCTAAAAATATTTTCTGTAAGTAAACCCGACCTGGGATGCCTCTGAAAATATTTTCTTTAAATAAACCACGCCTAGAAGGTATGCAAAAAATTTGTCTTTAAATATATCACGCCTAGAAGGTATGCAAAAATATTTTCTTTAAATAAACCCCGCCTAGAAGGAATGCAAAAAATGTGTCTTTAAATAAACCACGCCTAGAAGGTATGCAAAAAATTTGTCTTTAAATATATCACGCCTAGAAGGTATGCAAAAATATTTTCTTTAAATAAACCACGCCTAGGAGGTATGCCAAAATTAATTTCTTTAAATAAACCACGCCTAGAAGGTATGCCAAAATTAATTTCTTTAAATAGACCACGCTTAGAAGGTTTGCAGAACTATTTTCTTTAAATACGCCACGCGTACAGGTATGCCAAAATTAGTTTCTTTAAATAAACCACGCCTAGAAGGTATAGAGAACTATTTTTTTTAAATAAACCACGCCTAGAGGTATGCAAAAAAAAAAAATTTTATAAATAAACCACGCCTAGGGAGCCTCTAAAAATATTTTCTTTAAAAAGCCTAGATCTGTGGGTAAAACAATAATAAATCCATAATAATTTTCCCGATATCGTCAAGTTGGAATCCCAACAGCTGATTTACCCTGTTGCCATGAGGCCTCCTAAAACTATGCTTTACACTTGAATATAAATTTTATTGTTGACTATAATTCTTCAAAGAAATCATCCCAGGGCTATGCAAAAAATATGTTTTTCAAATAAATCACCCCCAGGACTGTGCAAAAAATATGTTCCTCAAATAAATGTTCTTCAAATATGCTGAAAATATGTTCGTTAAAGAAACCACGCCTAGGGCGTCCCTAAAAATATTTTCGTTAATGAAACCACGCCTAGGCCGTCCCTAAAAATATTTTCTTTAAAGAAACAACGCCTAGGGAACCCCAAAAATATTTTTCTTTGATAAATTACGCCAAGGGAGCCTCTAAAAATATTTTTTTAATTAAACCATGCCTAGAACTATACCAATAATTGTTTCTTTAGACAAAACCCACCTAGAAGCTTCCCAAAAATATTTTCTTTAAATAAACCACGTCTAGGGAGTCTCTAAAAATATTTTCTTTAAATAAAACCTGCCTTAAGATCCTCAAAAGATTTAATTTAACCAGGCTTAGAACTGTGGAAAAATTAATTAGAAATCCATAATCATTTTTTGATATCGCCAAGTTTGGAACCTATCAGCTGATTTAATCCTGTTGTCATAAGGCCTCCTAAAACTATGCTTTACAATTGTATATAAGTGTTATTGTAGATTATTAACTGGGACCCTCTTAAGAAATTTTTCAAATACAGCACTTCTGGGGAGCATCTAAAAATATTTTCTTTAAATACAGCACTTCTAGGCAGCCTTTGAAAATATGTTTTTAATAAACCACGCCTAGGGAGCCTCTAAAAATATTTTTTTTTAAATAAACCACCCCTCGAAGGTATGCCAAAATTAATTTCTTTAAATAAAGCATGCCTAGAGAGGCTTTAAAATATTTTCTTCAAATAATCCACGCCTAGGGTGCTAGGGTGAACAAATCCCACCTAGAAGCTTCCCAAAAATATTTTCTTTAAATAAACCACGTCTAGGGAGTCTCTAAAAATATTTTCTTTAAATAAAACATCCCTTAAGATCCTCAAAAGATTTAATTTAACCAGGCCTAGAACTGTGGAAAAATTAATTAGAAATCCATAATCATTTTTTGATATCGTCAAGTTTGGATCCTATCAGCTGATTTAATACTGCTGTCATAAGGCCTCCTAAAACTATGCTTTACAATTGTACTGTTAGTGTAGATTATTAACTAGGAGCCTCTTAAAAAATATTTTAAATACAGCACTTCTGGGGAGCATCTAAAAATATTTTCTTTAAATACAGCACTTCTAGGCAGCCTTTGAAAATATGTTTTTAATAAACCACGCCTAGGGAGCCTCTAAAAATATTTTTTTTAAATAAACCACCCCTCGAAGGTATGCCAAAATTAATTTCTTTAAATAAAGCATGCCTAGAGAGGCTTTAAAATATTTTCTTCAAATAATCCACGCCTAGGGTGCTAGGGTGAACAAATCCCACCTAGAAGCTTCCCAAAAATATTTTCTTTAAATAAACCACGTCTAGGGAGTCTCTAAAAATATTTTCTTTAAATAAAACATCCCTTAAGATCCTCAAAAGATTTAATTTAACCAGGCCTAGAACTGTGGAAAAATTAATTAGAAATCCATAATCATTTTTTGATATCGTCAAGTTTGGATCCTATCAGCTGATTTAATACTGCTGTCATAAGGCCTCCTAAAACTATGCTTTACAATTTTACATAAGTGTTATTGTAGATAATTAACTAGGAGCCTCTTAAAAAATATTTTAAATACAGCACTTCTGGGGAGCATCTAAAAATAATTTCTTTAAATACAGCACTTCTAGGCAGCCTTTGAAAATATGTTTTTAATAAACCACGCCTAGGGAGCCTCTAAAAATATTTTTTTTAAATAAACCACCCCTCGAAGGTATGCCAAAATTAATTTCTTTAAATAAAGCATGCCTAGAGAGGCTTTAAAATATTTTCTTCAAATAATCCACGCCTAGGGTGCTAGGGTGAACAAATCCCACCTAGAAGCTTCCCAAAAATATTTTCTTTAAATAAACCACGTCTAGGGAGTCTCTAAAAATATTTTCTTTAAATAAAACATCCCTTAAGATCCTCAAAAGATTTAATTTAACCAGGCCTAGAACTGTGGAAAAATTAATTAGAAATCCATAATCATTTTTTGATATCGTCAAGTTTGGATCCTATCAGCTGATTTAATACTGCTGTCATAAGGCCTCCTAAAACTATGCTTTACAATTTTACATAAGTGTTATTGTAGATAATTAACTAGGAGCCTCTTAAAAAATATTTTAAATACAGCACTTCTGGGGAGCATCTAAAAATAATTTCTTTAAATACAGCACTTCTAGGCAGCACTCCTCGCCTAGAAGGTATGCAAATATATTTTCTTTAAATACAGCACTCCTAGGGTACCTCTAAAATAATTTTCTTTAAATACAGCACTTCTAGAGAGCCTCTAAAAATTTCTAATTTTAATTTCTATTTAAAAAAAAAATTTTTTCTTGAGATCAAAAACTCGTT